AGATTCCCCAGACATATTGGAAGTATGCACGGCTACTGCAATGTATGTGCAGGAACCTTTGGGTAAGCAGGTGCGAAAAGAGAGATCGATGAACCTTTTTTGTTCCTTGAGGAAAATGAATATCCGCAGACACTGTCACATGCATGGAATAGGGAGGTAGGAAGTTGCAATGAGTACAAGATACACAAAGCACACAGAAAGAAACACATATGCAATACAGAAACGTAGACAAGATTGTAGTTTTTGATGAATCTTGCCCAGTTTAACACTCTGTATGTGCGTCCTGAAGGCAGCAAGGTGAAGTGGGTGTGGAGGTCAGATTGCAATAGCTGTTGATATTGTTTATTTGTTTGTTTATTTATTTTGATTGAGTCGTTGTGCATTTATGGCTAATTTCTACCCGTCGTCCCACTCATGTACACGCTCTAATTTACCCTCAGCGAATGTGAATGTAATGTGTTTTTAGTTGTGCTAAAAGCTTCTACAGACAGACAGTGCAAATTAGGCTTAGCTATGAATGTTGGAGTGATTGTGCACTTGTCAGATAAATAAATAAAACAACATCGGAGCACCCAGAGGAAACTTAAGCATATTCCACCGGGGACATTCTTGTTATGAAGCACAAGCATTACGCGCTGTGCCATCTTTTGCAAAATTAATGTATCGTCACATATCATTGTGTGTTGGTATTGTGCATGTGTTCTCCCCTATGATCAGCACTTGGAGAATGTTTTCAATTCCAGACTGATTTTAATAGTTAAACACAACTGTGAAAGCCATGCCCGGTTTTTTAAGTGTTTTTAAGTTAATTTTAATGTTATTATTTACACAGACACGTGTTTGTACTTTCAAACTGCTCATTCTAAAATCTCCTGCAAACCAGCTAAACTAAACAATAATAGCAAATGTGAGATTTTATAACGGGTTCACTTTAGACTTTCACACTGCAACACTGAGAACATCACAGCTCAGTGTCATCATTAGTCGTTCCCAAAACAGTAATTTCCTCAGATTTGCTTAAAAAAAGGGAGCATGGCTGCACTTAGTGATTCGTGCTCAGATGACGGAGAAATAAGCCCAATTTAGAAGTGCTTTTATAATCTTTCTTTAACTAAAAATAATGGGGCCTCATCCTAATAGCAACAATTATGGTCATCCCGCTCCCTCCAAAGGCTTTTGTGTGTTTGTTATTATTGTATTTCCTGTGTTCCATCTGTTTTATTTTTGAATAACTTTGTAAATTACTCCGATGCGATTGCTGTTGTGATTTTGGGCTGCACAAAAATAAATGTAATTGAAATGAAAACTGCACTAGGCACAGTCGATATCCAAATTGTAAGATTTTCATGTCAAGTCATCATTCTAACGGCCCTAATCTGTCAAAGGGCATTAATAAATCTGCTCTTTTCAATATTTCTGTAACTGAGAACAATAGTTCAGCCGAGCAATTGGGATTTCAAAATAAATTTTAGAGCCCCTTAATCTTGTCATTGTTTTCCTTTTGATGTCCCGCCTTCCACTGTTTTGCCAATCAGAAAGTCTGTGATCCGGGTTGCCAGAACTCTCTGCGTTAAGCTAATCTCACTGATAAAGTACCATTTGGCAGCTGTACTAAAAAGGTCTTGTTATGATTCTTAAACAATTCATGACAAAACAAGGAATAAAACAACAATTTCTAGGCCTTTGTGAAAAAGGTGTTGGTTGCAGATTTGTTGTTGAGAAAACTATTGTCTATTCAGCTATTATGGTCCCAGCTTGATTCTTCTGTATAAGATAAGATAAGATGTATTTTATTAAGTACATCTTATTAAGTACATCTTATATCTGCATGGCAACCCGATTCAGGGAGAGTGGGAGAGGTTGCAGTACCACTTCTGGCCAAATTTGTACACACCGTTCCTTTAAGAGGACTTGAAGTAATTACAGCATTCATAAGAAGTCCTTCTGCCACCCTCTATACACATACACGTAGCTTATAGAACATTTCATGCATTATTTATTGGAGCTCGCTTCTTGTATGCGGTCTAGGGCGGCGCCTATTGTCAGTTATGCAAGGACGCAGAGGAGATCACCTGCACATTTTAACTTATTCAATTTCAATTACATTTATTATTGTGTAGCCCTAAATCACAACAGTAGTTCGTCCAAATGTAATTCAAAGAAATTCATTTGGACAAAGATCATTTTCTTCGCTGTTATGCTCTCTGATTCACTAGAACTGCATGAATATAGTTGTTTATAAATGTTTATCAAATAGTTAATATTACAGGAGTACGATAATTATGGCAAAGCTCTGGAACTTTTGGAATTCTGACTGGGCTGCTTTTGAACACAAGGCAAGGCAAGTTTATTTATATAGCACAATTCATACACAAGGCAATTCAAAGTGCTGAACAAAACAAGAAAGCATTAAAATCATAAATTATCACAGAACATTAAAAAGAAAGATAAAAATATAAAATCCCTCAGTTGTATGCACAGTTAAACAGAACTATCTTTAACCTGGTTTTAAACATTGTCAGAGAGGAGGCCTGTCTCACGTCTTCAGGAAGACTGTTCCAGATTTTAGCAGCATGAATCTGAAAAGCAGCCTCCCCATGTTTAGTTCTGACTCTGGGCACTAACAGGAGTCCAGTCCCTGTGCTCCTCAGAGTCCGGGCTGGTTCATATGGGACTAACATGTCACTAATATATTTTGGTGCGAGGCTATGGAGAGATTTGTACACAAGTAGAGCTGTTTTAAAGTCTATTCTCTGAGCCACAGGAAGCCAGTGCAGAGACCTGAGAACTGGACTAATGTGGTCGTACTTCCTGGTTCTAGTCAGGACTCGAGCTGCTGCATTTTGAATGTACTGCAGCTGTTTTACAGCCTGTTTGGACAGACCTGTGAGCAGGCCATTGCAGTAGTCTAACCTACTGGAGACAAATGCATGGATAAGAATCTCCAGGTCTGCTTTAGACACTATGTTTTTGATCCTGGCAATGTTTTTTAGATGGTAAAAAGCTGCTGATGTTACTGATTTGATGTGGCTATTAAAATTTAAGTCTTAGTCCAGTATTACCCCTAGATTTCTGACCTTGTTTGAAGGTTTTAGGGAGAGAGACTGTAGGTGACAGATGACGCTCTCTCTTTGTTTCTGTGGACCAAAGACAATCATTTCAGTTTTGTCTGCGTTTAGCTGAAGGAAGTTGTTTTGCATCCACTCACTGATCTGTTGGATACAGTGAAGGAGTGAGTCCACTGGTCCATGTTCTCCTGCAGTCAGTGAGACATAGATCTGAGTGTCGTCTGCATAGTTATGATAGGAAACTTTGTTTCTGCGTATTAACTGACCTAACGGCAGCATGTAGAGATTGAACAGAAGAGGTCCCAGGATCGACCCCTGTGGGACTCCACAGGTCAGGGCCATATGATCTGAGACACAGTTTCCAATCTCCACAAAGTACTTCCTGTCTTCAAGGTAAGACCTAAACCAACTTAGGGCGGTGCCAGTGACGCCAACCCAGTCCTCTAGTCTCTGTAGGAGGATCTCATGGTCGACGGTGTCAAAGGCAGCACTTAGATCTAACAAGATTAAGATTGAGACTTTGCCTGCGTCAGTGTTCAGCCGGATATCGTTTGTAACCTTAACGAGAGCAGTCTCAGTGCTGTGGCGGGGTCTAAAGCCGGACTGAAACATATCAAATGAGTTGTTGATTATAAGAAATCTAGTAAGCTGTAGGTAGACAACTTTCTCAAGGACTTTCCCCATAAATGGCAGATTTGAGATGGGACGATAGTTGTTAAGTACCGTAGCATCGAGACTGCTCTTTTTTAGCAGGGGCCTGATGACTGCAGTTTTCAGGGCCTTTGGGAATATTCCAGAATGAAGGGACATGTTTACTATCTGTGTGAGTGAAGGTAACAGACTGCTCAGAACAGACTTCAGAAATCTAGTGGGTAGTACATCCAAGCTGCATGTGGAGGAGCTCGGACTGGAGATTATCTCTTGGACAGTTTTATCATTTACAGGTGCAAAGTGAGTTAGCTCAGAGAGCCTTTCTGGCTGTTGGATGGTTATCTGTGGATTGGAGACAATGGCGTTTTTGATGCCTTGAACCTTGTCATTGAAAAAATTAGCAAACTCATTGCATTTACGTTTGGAAGTAAGCTCTAATGGCATTTGAACAGGGGGGTTTGTTAATCTATTAACTGTTGAGAACAGAACATGCAGATTGTTGCTGCAGCCTTCAATCATTTCAGAAAAATACCTTTCTCTCGTACTACGTAGCACCCGGTTAAACTCGCACAACTTATCTTTGAAGATCTCGCAATCTACCTGGAGGTTGGACTTGCGCCACTTCCGCTCGGCCCTCACAAACTGAAACAATTTTTTAAAACAAAGCAATTGTGTGATCATCAATGTGTTGTGTGTGTGTTATAATTGTGTTTTGATTGTGTTAAAAGCTCTTTGTGCAAATTAGCAGCGTGCAAATTAGCCTTGGTCATTCATGTAGTGTTTCGCGTGTGGAACTTGTAACTATCAATAAAATCAATAAATAAATAACATGTTTAAATAATGTTGGGATACACACAAAACAAAAAATTTGAGCAAAAATAGAAGTTCAACCAACAATGTAAATAAAGGAAAATTGGTGCAAAATGGGCACAGTTGTATGTATGCACCTCTTGGTTTCAGATGCATATAAGTTTAGTAAATATTATGATTAATTGTGTATTCTCTTGTTTTACCCATACATAATCCCACTTGTCCGCACCTCACCCCTGCACTGCCCCTCCATATTCCGCCTCCCTCTTTCAGATCATGATTGACTCTTATGAGAAGTGACTGCCTATCCGACTCGGGCCAATTCTATTACCTGCGTCTCTCATTCTTCCACTGCAGCAGCCACCAAACACACAAACTATTCAGCCACTAAAGCATGTTTCAACCCTCCACCAGGATTTGTCCCGAAATAGAAACATTACATTACACGCTGCATGCCTCCTGTGTTTGTCTTCATGTGTGCCACTGTACTGAGTCGATGGGAGTAGTGTGTATCGGGTGGTAATCTGGCTCGGAGCAGAAAGGGGGAGGAGTGTCCTGGGTGCGTGTGTGCTGCAGAGAGCCTGACTGCCAGCACTGCACCAGCCCAGAGCACACACTGTCACTATGCACCACACAACAGGGCACACGGCGAGCCCAGAGGAGAGTGCACGCCCAGATGGCAACACAACAACCCCGCTGTTGTGTATCGAGTTGTGTTGTGTCTTTTTGGGACACTCAAAGACGAATCACATGATATTATTTGTTAACTACATAACCGGCGGTGTTAAACTACTACTGTAGCCATAGCTGACCTAGGGCACACTGACGGAAGTAGGTGTCATCAGTCCCTCCAACCACAACCAACAATTCACACACACACCAGACTCATTCTAGTTTCTAGTAGAAGTTTAGCACTTTACAATCACAACAACCTCATTGTGAACCTGCTGTTCCCTGAGGTCTCCCATCACAGTACTAACCAGTGCATTCTCTGCTTAGCTCCAGAGGTCTGACGGGATCTGGATTTCACATACTAGTCAGGAAACCAGATATTGCTGGTAACTTTATTAGAGATAGATAGTTGATTAATTGATCAATGGTTCCTTGGTCAACCTTCATTGTCATATGTGAAACGGCAAAAATCAGACAATATAGACCAAAACAGCTGAAGATGTTTGTATTTACATTCATTTCATTCTTTCAGTTTGTATGCATTTTTGCTTTTATTGAACCTTTTAGATGCTCATGAACTTGCTGAACCGAAACTGGACATTATATGCTCGTTTTCTTTGAAGAAAATACTTACAAAAGACATATAACATGCCATAGAAGTTTGTGTATACTTCTTAATTTCAATGTTATCAAGTTTTGAAAATATGATACCCTTGGTACGTGTACCCCTGGTTCAGAATCACTGCTTAAAAGCTTTCACCAATGTCTTAATGGTTTGGAGCTTATTAAATCTGAGGGCCTGATTTATCGCTTTAGTCACGGTCAACACTGTAATTCAGGTTTTCTTCCAAATAGAATTATTGTGGAACCAACCTCTCTAGACAAAAACACCAAATATTTCCAGATGATGTGAAAGAAAGAAGACAACAAAATGGATGCATAATTAATTTGCAGCCAACATTTCACATTGAGCCTAATGCCAGAGCGATCCCTTCTGTAATATCAGAGACGATGACATCACCCTAGAATCAGAAAAACAAATTAAGGGATGATGTAATGCCACAGCCCTGGACAAACGCCTCTCCATATTGTAGGGAAATGATAAAATATACGCTGTGGCTTTGAATCTGTGGGTTAGAGGGTAAATGGGACTTGAAACATAACACCCAGAGGCATCAACGTAATAATGAATGAAACAATGTGGGCAGTCACACAGTCTGTTAGGCTTTTGTGTCCTCCCGAATGGAAAAAACACAGCTACATTCAAGCAAGCATTTAAATGAGCAAACATTCAACATTGTTATTGATATTTTGTAGTTGTTTGTATGAATTTTTACACCTAATACATGTTTCTTTACACACAATCATATGCTGTTAATGACTGTTATTATGTTGTTATTGACAGCAAGTACAATCTGTGTTGCTTTTTTGCCACCCCCTGCCCCCCTCCCCAAGGCAAGACAAGACAAGATTATTTGTTAAGCACAACAAGGGAACTCAAAGTGCAGAACAAAACAAGAAATATTACAATCATGTATAATCACAGTCCATAAAAAATGAAGAAAACCTGGATTTAAACAATGTCAGAGAAGAAGCCTGTGTCACATTTTAAATCCATCCATTTTGTCTCCAGACTGACTCTGATGTACCTTCATCATTTTATCTTTGACTAACTTTGCAAACACTCTATTAGCATTCATGTTGACTTTCATAATATATTCTGTCTCATTTGAGCTTCATCTTTCCACATGAGTTGGTTTTATAAAACATATTTGGATGTGGACCAGTGTGTCCTTGATAAGCACCTTAAGTAACAAAACAAGGCAACAAAACAGAACCCAAGCTGTTCCCATTGCGGCTCTATCAGGAGGTGAGACAGCCACTGTACCACATCATATCTTATTAGCTCGGCCTGTCGTTCGCCACAACAGGCTTTAGCCAAAGGGAAGCATCGATGCCAGCTGCCTCTCTCATTAATCTGATTTTTCACCTCGTCGCTTGGGCCTGAAGGAAGCTGTCATCTGACCACACGCTTTGTCTAGACACCTGCTCGCTGCAGCACAAAGGGGCTCTTTGTCGCTCCGATTTCCATCAGAAGTCAAAAATCTGGATTGTGGGGATGCAAGGGGAAGCCTGAAGGAGGTGATTGGGCGGTTACGGCCCATTCTTGTTGTGCATAAGGGGGAGAGATGAGGTCGAGATGGATGGAGATTGTTAGCAAGATACAGAGAGTGGAGAGACAGCCAGAGGAGCGGCTCAAACTAAAAATAAACATGTATATTAACGGTGACTCAGACCAAAGTTTTAAAATATGTCAATAGTTTCCAGACACTAACAAAAGTTAGTGGGTTACATTGCAGACTAACTAAACTTTATTTTATATGTATACAGCACATAACACTGTCTTATTCATTTGCTCCACTCACTGTTGTGGTAAGCTACTATTTTAGTCATAATTAAGTAGAGTGCCAGTCTGACAGCCATCAATCACCCACCCACACACACACACACTACAATACAGATAGTGTGGGGGAAGTGTCTTGCTTAAGAGTCACTGCTGCCCCACTGTAGGACCTAGTTTTGAGACCTAACCAGACAATGGCTTGACGCAGCAGGTTTGTCCGCATTAAACAGGAGAGCTGAATTATTTAACTGCTTTAAAATAGGCGTTATTTAGCACTAAAATTAATAGTTTTGGGAAATTTGTGGGGCCACAGTTGGTAGAGCATTGACCCCACATTGCCCATTGAAAGACCAAGACATGCCGGCCGATCAGCGAGGGATTGGTGCTATGAGCATTGTTCCCCCCCCCCCCAACCCCCCCACCCCCCCAAAAAACAACAACTGATAATGGGGAAGACAATGAGTAAATGTATACAATTCTTAGTAAGCATATTTTAGTTATTTATTTATTTATGGTAAAATTGTATTTGATCTTTGGAAACATGTGTCCTACGTTCTATTGATGACCAAAGACAATAAACAACTAAAACGAAATATAATAATTTTAATGGAAGATTTATAGCTCCTCATTTTATGCAGGCTTAAAACTGGACTCTGTTTTAAATGATTCTTCCCTCCACATATTTCAATGCAAAGTTTGATTACCAAGTAGGTTTACAGCCCAGATACAGTAGATCCCCCTGTAGTTGTTTAGAAAACTTTAAAAACAACATTTCACACCATGTATTTGAATAAAGTTCATTCTCCTCTTATGCATAACAATCTGCTTTGCTCTTGCCAAATACAATACACTAACCTACTCCTCTACTGGCCTTTCTCCTTCATTAGCATGCTAGAATTAGTCAAGCTATGGATTTCCTCAAGACAGAACAAACTGGAGCAGATTACGTAGATCAAACAGCCTCCAGACTGATGCAATCTCAAAACCAATTATAGCGGATGGACCTTTTTTTTCCCGATAAGTCATTTTGACGGCTCAGAATTTGAACTGGCATCTCACGGCCAATGTTTGTTTTGAGGATTGCCAGCTCCCAAACTGCTGCTCTATGTAATGTTCCTGAACAGGCGTCACTTTGCGAGTCATGAGTCAAATCTGCACAAAGTTGAGTCTGAATTGTTACCTAAAATTTACAAACACAAAAATTAGGATTTTATGCTGTAAAAACAAACGACACATCCAGTTTAAATCATAGTAAGGTACAGGCTGGTGGAAGTACTGCGTTTATTATTCTATCCCAATTCTAAAATAATTGGATTTTAGTTCCTCTAATGTAACAGAGGAATATATTTTAGATTTAAAAGTTAGAAAAAATCTATTTTTACTGACAAACATCATTAAAAAGCTGTCATAGTGTGGACTTTTTATTGATTCTGTGTTACTTCCTGTAATTCTTGACATATGTTAAAGCTTTTCTTCACACATGGCACTTTTTCTTCTGAGACAGACTTCATTCCTCAAAGATAAAGTGAAAAAAACATTCATTATTGTCATTTTCACTTAAAAATTCCTTAAATAATAACGAGTGCTTTTTCTTCAAAACCAGGAATTCAAAAGTAAATCTCTTTTAAGCCACAAAACTCAAGGTGCTCCTGTTTCACTAAAAACATGAACTGAATATAATGAGACAGTGAATGGATTAGGATGGTCCGGGACAAAAAGAAGAAAAAAAGTGCTTTGACAGACTTGTGAAATGTGCTGTAGAAAAAAGAGGACTTACTTACTGCTTTCTTACACGTATTGCACTGGATTTTTGTTTTGCTCGTCCACATGTTGTCGGTTTGTCAGACACACAAACAAGAGACATCACCCACTGAGCTGCTCCGGCTGCAGCTCTCTGAAGTGTCACATGGTCAGACAGCAGATTAATACTTTGAAAGACAAGTCTCCCAGATTTCTTTTTATTTGTATTTTATTTTTATTTTCCATTTCCTTTTAAATGACTGCACTTTCAAAACTCGGAACAGCACAGACGATTTGCATCTCCATTGAAAAGATGACCCTGTTTTCAAAAAAAGCTCTCTGACAATGTCCAGGGTGATGACTCTACCTCAAAGCTATGAATGTAAGTCAGAACACAAAATGCTAGCTTGGAATTATGGGAAAATATTGACTATAAAATATACACTTTGCCAAAAACTCTTAATTGTGAATCTATTTACAGTGTGTAGAAACGAGGCAAAGTTTTTACTGAAAGGGGATTTTACTTGGAAACTTTTCATAGCATTCACATACCATAGTATTATTTCTTTTTAACCCTTTTATATTCACTCATTTGAGAAAGCAATGTAATTTTTATGTGTTTTTGTCTTTTTTTAACCTTCAGTTTTTTTAATTATAGGCCTTTACCAATTGGTTGAGATTCAGTTTGATGGTAAAAGTGCCTAGAACCAAATGATGGAGATGCCCCAATGAGGTAGACTTCATTTCCAAGCTTCAAGATGGTTGAGGAAATGGTTAAAATTTATTAAGATTATTTTGCTTAATGGATGTTTGAGTAATTTAGTAATTGTCTGATCAATTCCCTGGTATGGCCAGCCAAACAATACACAGAGCATGCAATAAAAATCCAGATCTATTAGACATTCTTCAGATCCCACTGATCAAATCCTTGTGATGCTTTCAAAGGCATCTCGTAACTTTGCTTCAGCGCTCAAACTTGGAACTGTAAATGGAAATATAATTGCTATGGAATATTGTAGAAGCACAGTTTTGGCAAATGTCATGTCACAACATCTTGTTTACTTGATTTTCACACAAGCTCAATTTTCACAGCAAAATTAAACGCACTGTGGTTCTTGCTTTTTCCTCATGTAACGAAACAAACACAAAACATTTCAAAACATGCAGTGATCAAAGTGAGTAAGCAGCCTCAGCAACCATGTGACCAAATATATTTCTAATCAAGGCATGACTTTTACCCCATGCTCATAAATGCATCTGCTGGTCTTGTCTCCAAAGTATCCAGTGTACATAGTTTCATATTAAACGCATGTAAAGTAGACATATTTAGATCCAGTTATGCCCAGTGGGGGCGGGTCCCAGCTCAAAAGTGGCCAAAATGACGCGCTGACATGCTTGCAATACCACCCCGGGCCGATGGGGGTGGACCCAGAAGTAGAATTAGCCAATGCTAACATATAGCATTGGCAGACCTCTCGAAAACCTCTCTCATCTTTACAGGATGGTCCAAAAGCTGGCTCTTGGCCCAAAGCTCCGTTCCACATGTGTGTCAATGCTGAGGGGGGTGAATTTTTTTGGACCACTCTAGTTTAGTCGCTGTGAATTTTTGAAGTCTCTCGTTCAAATGAATGGAGCTGCGCCAGCTGACGCATGCGCAGATACGTTTTTTCACAATTTTCTTGTGGGCGGGACCACTCGCGGCCATTTTGGATCGCTCCAGTAGAGCACATTTTTTGGCCCATTAGTTAGAACGGCGGAGATAGGCGTGACTCTGTCCGTTAATATATACAGTCTATGGTTATGCCAAATGGACTTGATTTCACATCCCAGTCTTGCTCAATAAAATTAAAATGGACTGGGCAAGTTCTGGTTTTCACTAGTGCTTTAAAAACGTATACAGATATTTTCATTAGTGCTTTGTAAACATATACAGATATTTTCATTAGTGCTTTGTAAACATATACAGATGTTTTCACTAGTGCTTTGTAAACATATAAAGACATTTTCACTAGTGCTTTGTAAACGTATAAAGAAATTTTCACTAGTGCTTTGTAAACGTATACAGATATTTTCACTAGTGCTTTGTAAACGTATACAGATATTTTCACTAGTGCTTTGTAAACGTATACAGATATTTTCACTAGTGTTTTTTTTTTAACCTATGCAGATATTTTCACTAGTGCTTTCAAATGTATGCAGATATGCAGATATTTTGACAGTGTTGTGCTGCCATTTTTCACATCTGTGGTCTATGTTGATAGTACATTTACTGTATTTCGTTTTGGCTTTTGATTGTGTTGAATGGGAGATGTATTGTTGTCTTTGCTATGTGACTGCAGATATTATCCCTGAGAAAGAATAGAACCCACTGCATTTTGAGCTTAAGACCTACTGAGCATGGACAATCTAGCTCCAAACTAGCACCATTATTGAAATAAAAACAAACAGCTTGTCAGAAAACACTCTCTTGTCTTTTCTTTCCATTTTGTACCTGTCTTAACATGTATGAAACGCCGTGCGAGGGAAGTGATTTCTTTTGCATTTGACTGTGCCTTTATGTCTGGGTGCAAGGGGCAGATAGGCGGAGAGACGCTGTGATTGCTGCTATTTCCTACGGCTTCTCGTGCGAGGGCCGACGGGTGCCCATTTTATCTGCAGCAGCGGTGGGTCCCTGAGAGATGAGGAGGACTGATACTAGACGCAAACAAATTCAGACAAACAAAGATAAAATGGGATTTGGCAGGGTCCATCCGTGAAGCCTTGGAAGAAAATGCTTGTTTGGAATGCACGCCTGGCTGTTTGTATATAGTCTGCAACTTATATTGAAAAAGCACAAAACCATTAAGGAATAAACAGGCAAGAAAGAAGCTAAGAAGTGATTTTGAAGACCATACTTTTTTGTTGTTGAATGAGTGCTAACCCTGTGCTGAATGCAAATTGGGTGGGCCTTATTATTTATGTTAGAAAGAGGTTGAATGTTTGAACAATAAACGGTTTTTGTTACTTTTTCCGGAAAATCTGGGTGAATTTTAGCGTTTTATTCATATTTGCAATGTCCGGCATTTTTGTAAGTTATTGCATTCATAGTCCTGTATTTATCTAGAGGTGAAAGCAGTTTTACTAAAAGTCGTACTGGTTGGAGTGTGGCAAACTTGGAGCTGGTTTCTGAAAGGAGCGGAACTGGATGAATTCAATAAATATGATCCATGAAAGTTGATAATTAACAGCTAGTATTGTGCAGTGTTAAAAGAAAAATTGTAAAATCCACCAGAGAATTTTCAAGTTCTTTTTATGGGCTTTCTTACAATCACTTAGACTGTTCAGGGGGAATACCATTGGTCCAAATCAGAATCCAACTATAGAAAAGCACTTGTAAACTCACTATAACCCTTTAATACGTTGGCTATTTTCGTCAGCCGTTTACAATGGACTGGAATCGTGTGCAGGGACCATTGTGGAGGCTGGTGAGTCAATTCTTATGCAATCACTGGTTTCAATAGAGAGGACTTTGCAGGTGAGGCAAGCAGCATGACATCTTTTATTATTCTACACTTTATTTTGTTTTTTATTTATACTTGTAAACTATAGTTGACTGACTCCGAGAGTGGGTAGATACAGTAAATGAGTCAATACAACTGCCAAGAGCCTTCAATGCGTCCTATGTCCTCCCCTCGTTTCCTTACTCCTGCCGCCTCCACATGTTACACCTACACGCTGTACTCTCTGCTTTTTCTGCATAAAGGGAGCCCACGGTCGCTCCTGTTTGGTGCAGTTGCAGATGTGAAGCTTGCTGCCTTCTCCGTCTCCGTTGAGCCGCAGGCAGAAAAAGATTACAGCTCTAATGTACATGGATGCGCTCAAGCCGGCAGAGACTATTAATGTTTAGAACAAGGGAAATGCAAATATGCCATTGAAATAGGACGTGAGAGGGAGGCAGAGATGCACTCAAGAGGGAAATAAAAAACATAATAATACGTTTGGAGGTAGATTGTAGATGTCGTTCTTTAACTGTGTATGTTACATTTGGAAATCTGGAAATAATTGGAGAATTTTTGTTTTATTCCCTTTAGCATCTAGGAAAAACAGCACATATAAATTCATATAAGAATGTAGTTATCGAGTGTTTTGAGTATTCCTTAGCGAATCCAGAGGGGTCTATGGCAACCTCCTTTTTAATGTTATGTGGTCCTCTCCTTTGCTAATATAAAGTAGTCATGGATATCATAAATACTGTGTTATCCAGCCCACTTCAGCTCAGCAGGCAGCTACAATACATTCATGCTAACATGTAATACATATACTGCTAATGCGATATTGAGTCTTTTCAGATGAATTTAAACTTAAGTGAATATATTGTCAGTTGATAGATAGATAGATTGATAGATAGATAGATACTTTATTGATCCCTGTTGGACAAATTCAGGTGTCCAGTATCAGCAGAAACACATACAAACAAATTCATACTAATAGATAATTCTAAAAGTTGCAATCATAGTAGTATTAAAATGCAACAGCAGCAGAGGAGGTGTAGCCGCTGGGTGGAACAAGAAAAGTCACATACACTTGCTTAAAAAAAAAAGTTTATAGTTTTTAGCAACATAGAGTCCACTGCATGAATGGCTGTTGTTTGCACCAGTGTCTATAAATATAATTACAACCGAAATGGCCATAATCCAATTCAGTTTATTTTGAGCTGCCCGCTCGTGTCCACCGCCTGGAGATGTTACTCCCATGTAATGTTTATAGTACTAAGCTTATCTATATTACAATTCATTCAGTGCTTTCTTATTTACCCTATTCTAAGGCTTACTGACAAGCATCAAGCAAGACAGGCTAAAAGTTCCATTGTCTGTCTTCAATATTTCATTTTGTTTTACAACAAATTGGATCAAAATGATGCAAGAAACAATTTCCTGACCAGTCGCTGTCTAATTTTTCATTAATTACGCATTTGTTTTGTCCAGTAACATCCGTAGCGCCCGCGGTGTAATATCAAAGTGTGAATTTGTTCAGGCTGTTTGATGCTTTTGAGAGACAGTCTGAGTAAAACACTGCTACAGCCTTTTTTATGTGTCGGCAAAACAACATCTTTCATCAGCGTTCATCAGATGTTTTTATGATACCACTGTTGCATTCTCTAGCATCATGTAATCAGCATTATTTGGGTCAGTGCTGTCTTTTGATAAATGCAAGAGTTTCTTCTTCAAACTGCATTATCTATCAAGTTAGATAATATACTACTTTTGTATATATATATATTTTTTATATGAGAATTTCGATGTACTCAAGTGCTGGATCCTTCTTGCTGCTAAAAGTATGTGAAAATCCTGTAAAATTTGGTAAATGCATAGTTTTCCCAGGAGGCCTCTGAAGCGAAGAGCAGGGTCTGGTTAGTACTGTGATGGGAGACGTTTGAGAGGTGGCTGCAGCTGTGAAATGCAAACTGTTGTTGTGTCCTTAGACGAGACACTTCCCCCACATTGCCGAGAATGAATCTGGTGTGTGTGTGAATAGCTGGTGGTGGTTGGAGGGGTCTATCTGTCTTCCCCAGGGCAGCTATGGTTATGGAAGTAGTTTATCACCACAGTGTATGGAGTGAATGCCATGAACGACTAGCTGACCCAAAGTTTCATATTGAAAAAGTTGTCTTGTTTTAATCAGGAAGTCGAAGAACCCAATTTCTATTATTGTAAGCCTTTCTCAGACCAGAGTCACAAAGCGCCCAATTGTTATTTTCGGGCATTTGTCTCTCTCCACACAGAGATGGGTGCGGGGTCGCCAGTACAGGAGGCGCATACCAGATCTATTGTACATGTTTTTTAGTGGTAGGGGAAACCAGAGCACCCAGAGGAAACCTACGCAGACATGGGGAGAACATGCAAACTCCATTCAGAAAGGTTCTGTTCCAACCGGGATTCAAACCTAAGACCTTCTTACTGAGAAGTGAAAGTGCAATCGTCTCATTGAGTAAATAAATAGCAAAATAATGTAATAAACGTAAATGATATATACAACTTAAACTTAATTCTTGTTTTTTATTACCGATTATAGACTGACCCTTATTTTGCTGAAGCTAGAGTTATTTTATTTAGTAGAGAGTTTAGTATAGAGTTTGTTAGTATAGAGCTCTGTTTACAGAATATATCTTATCCTGTGCTGTGTGCACTGTAAAAAAGAAAAAGTTAGTTCAACTCAAAATTTCAAAGCAACCAGCTGCGAAGGATTTTTGAGTTGAAGGCATTAACTTAATTCTTCAAGTTTTGAAGAACTACACTTATTAAGTTGTGTCAGTTAAGTTTTCCAAGTTCTGCCAACTAAGTGTTTAAATTCAAGTTACTGGAAATTTCACGTCTGTAAAAACTTACTTGTTAAAGTTCAGGGGCCGTATTCCTAAAGATTCTTAGTGCTAAAAGTTGGCCAAATTCTAAGAATTTTCTTAGAATCTTGACCAACTCTTAGAATTTCCCCTAAAAGTGAGGAGTAGCTCCTAGTTAAGATAAAAGCTATTCCTAAAAAATCCTAGCTCTTAAGAGTGCTCTTAAGGGGAGATCCCTTAAGAGTTGAGAGGAGGACTTTTAGCGACTTAAAAGTTCCCTAAGAGCACAAAATGGTGGACGGTGGAGACAGGAGAAATATTCTATACACTGGATGACAGTGAATCAGTGAAACGCTACAGATTCAAGCAGGAATCATGTTTGTGGTATATTTAAAAGTCAATCATGTGACCAGCTTCTCATTGGCTGGTCAGCAATAACACCTCATCCATTTTACCTTTGTTACACAAAAGTAAGTAGAAATGGTAAAAGTTGAAAGAGAGGAAAAAGTGGTCCTAAATTGTCACACATTCAGTACGAATGAATGAATACTTTATTTTGAGCCATGGCAAACAAGAAAAAAAAGGACAAAACAAACAAAACAACAACAGAATAGAAGTACAAATATACAGTTTTGTTTTATTAACAACAATCCAGCTCAAAAAGGAGTGGGAGAGGATAAGACTTTTAAGCTCCCTTGTACTTGATTTGTACAGTGTATGTATAATATGTTTATATTAATATTGTTTCCTTAATTCCTTATAAGTCTATACATATCACAGCCTTTACTAATCCTAACGTTATCATTATCATCATTTATCCATATAATATTTATAATAATAATTTTCTTTATCATGTATATTATATAGAGTAATATTTAAATTATATGTATATATATATATTTATATATATATAAAATTATAAGTGCTCATGATATATACGTATTATGTGTGATAAATTGGTGCTGAGCAAGCTCTGATGATGGTGTATAAGTCTAACTTTACTATTCACAGTATTTATGTACCATTGATATATCTGACTTTATAGCTTTTGGTTATTATTTACAATAACACAGTGTTCCTAAGATTAGATTCCATGATTGAGTTTGTCCATTTTAGGGCCCTTATTTTGCCTATTATCATCAAAAATATGTTTGTTCTAACTTTTAGGATCAACCAATCACAGCGTCTGAAATGATGATTCATACCTAGCAACGGGGTCGGCCACGCCTCCTCACTAAGATAAAAGTTGTTGTCAATTCCTTGCTCAGAGTTCTCTAAGAGTGTTCTGGAATAACTTTTAAGCTAAGACTCCTAGCTAGGAGTTTTTAGGTTAAGATAAGAGCTCTCTGAGAGGACTCTCAGAATCTTTAGGAATACGGCCCCGGATTACTGTCCCCTACAATAACTTACTATTTTGAGTTTAAATTAGCCCCCACATTAAAAGATCATGATGTTTATTTATATAGCGCATTTCATGGACCAAGGTCACTTGGGTAGGGGAAACCGGAGCACCCGGAGGAAACCTATGCAGGCACAGAGAACATGCAAATTCCACACAGAAAGGCCCTGTTCCGACCGGGATTCGAACCCAGGACCTTCGTGTCAAGAAGCAAGAGTGCTATCCACTCAGCCACCGTGCCGCACACACTGTGAACCAGAGGGGAAACGTAATGTTTCTAAGACTGACCCAGAGAATATACAGGGCTACTTTGGCTTGGCCCTGTCGATTACGGTTGGTAAAAATAAATACAGTGATTTTTTTGGTCAAATTAGTTTGTTCAAAATGTTGAATGCAGCTGGTTGCCATGACAAATATTTAAATGAGCAAACGTAGATAAGTTGACCTCACTATAGCTCGGTGAACTGTAAAAACGACAACTCAAAATTGTTCACCTTACTCAGATTTTTGCATTCACTGACAATAAAATTTCCAGTTAGAACTGGAACTGTCTGTTGTGAGCCACTTAAACTTTCAGAAGTTCACTACAACTTCAAAGTCAAATCAACTTAATATATCAAATAAGATGAACTTTTCATCAGAAACTTCAGAAAGTGAGTTCAAGTGGCTCACAGCAGACAGTTGCAGTTCCAACTGGCAATTTTATTGTCAGTGAATGCAAAAATCTTAGTAAGGTGAACAATTTTGAGTTGTATTTTTTACAGTGTGCTCATTCTTACTGTTCTGGTGATGCAACACTGGAATTTCTCCACTGTGGGACGAATAAAGGATCTCTTAATCTTATCAAATACTGCATACTGGCTAGACCTATTGAAAGATGTGTGTCTATAAGGACATTTTCTTTGCCTGGAATAGTCGACTCTATTGGATTATAGCTCCGTTAGCTTTTTATAGCTCCTTCTCTGTATTTCCAACACTCTACAGTTGCCCTTATCGTCAACAAGACTTCATCTGCAGGCCCTCCCAGACCAGGAACCAGGTTAATTTCCTTCTGCAGTGGATCAATATTTTGCTCTCTGCTCGTCGCGCCCTCACTCTGACCACACATTATTGGCTTCCATGTAATCAGTCAAC